ATCTGATCTGAATCTATTCTGATCTCCGTCACCCGAGGAAGTGATTCTGGTTTCCCTTTGAACCTGATAAGGTATCACGTGATCGAGGCGTCTCCCTCTCATGTGTTCCAGAAAGGCTTTCTTCCTCTGAGGGGCCACTGACTTTTCCCACTGCCTCTCTTGCAGGGTTTTCCCATCTCTGTGCCTCTGTTGGCGCAGTCCCTTTGGATGGGCTGGGTAGCTGGTGCCAGGGCTGGGGTTCAGGTCACTGAGGCTCAGCATTAGCAGTTGTAAGAAGGAAGGATGAGTGGCTACTGCAACTTCCCGGGAAGGCTCTTTAGACATCATCGGGGAAGATTCAGAAATCAATGCTGAGCTATGTTTCTGGAGTGGATCCATGGAGACCTAGCTCCAAGGCAGCCCTTGGGTCCAGACACAAGGTGAAGATGAAGGTTCTCAAAGCTCCAGGCGGCAGCCAGGGACGTGTGCAGCCAGAGGAACCCAGATTGCAAAGAATGGTGATAAAGGAAGAAGGAAAATCTAGGATTATTCATCTTACTTGATTTTTCAGTCCCTGTTTCCTATCTGTAAAATGGGGGTAGTAATGAGCCCTATGTCCTAGGACTGTTCTGCCTGTTAAATGAGACAATACATCTCTAGAGCTCTGAATACTGATGGTGCCCGATGAGGCTTTTACGAATAAGGCCCATTATTGCATCCATATGTCATGGGCCACGGTCAACCATGTTTAATGCCTACTGACTTTTTACGAACAATTTTCAAGCCTAACTGTAAGAACAATCAATGTGTGACGAACATGTGTTCTTCTCGTAAACATTACTGTATGTTCAAAAAGGAGAACTTTAATAAATTCCAAGCATTTGTACCATGGTGACACACCCTTTTAAATTTCCACCTTCATTCTCACTGGCTTTTCAGACAGTCAAACGGTTGCTCAAGAGTATGAAAACCAAAATTCTGAGGAAGTATAGAGAAAATTTTACTTTACTAAAAATAAGTACAGAAATCAATGAAATTTCTAACCCCCCCCCCAAAATAGAGAAACTCAATTAGACCAAAATTGGTTCTTTGGAATGATCAATAATATGGATAAACCTCAAGCA